ATTGTCTTTGCAAGATCAACCATCAACTTTATGAACGAAGATCGATGAAAAGAAGGAAATAACTTAACAGATTTAAGAATCTCAAACTAACATAAGATACTCTGCTATCTCATAGACCCACCTAAGACCACCCATCATTGCCTAAGCCAACTTCATTAGGCCACAAATGCAATCCACCGACATATTTGTCTCAAAATCAAAACCCTTACCAATAGTCTTGGCCAACTTGGAGTGTTGATTTGACTTTTCCGATTCGTGCTGACATTTCAAATCAATAAACTCGCACTTTGCACTGCCAGCGGCACCTGCTCGCAATTACTGGCGGGCTAACTTGGAGGGTCGGCGAATTTGGAGGAGCCACACACACGCATTACCATCCAGTTTAATGGCAAATGGCAAATACCAAATAGCAAACGGGCAACGATGTCTTGCTCAAATAAGCCGATTAATTGTAATCAAGCAGCGCGTCCAAATGGGCACCGAACTGGCTATCCACTCAGCTGGGCCCGGAACCGAGGATGGAACTGGATGGTCTTTCTGGATGGGATCCCCTGTCTATCGATTTCTGTCTCTCTGTCTGGCCGCTTGGGTCAATGCATGTGCTAGCAAGGAAATAAATAAATACAAAAAAAAAAGCAAAGTAATAGCAAAGCTAAATAAGTGAAACACTTTCTACCCCGGCAGCAAGTGCTCCAAGTGGAGCCTTTCCCCCACCGGAGTTTCGTGTCATAAAAAGAATTGCCAATTGCGAAAAAGGCTTCAAACTTACACGTAGAGAAAAGTGGTAAAGGAAAGGCAGAAACCTCCGGGAAAAGTATTTCTTATTATTATTATTATTATTTGAACTACAAAAAATTTAACAGTTTGATATTTTATAGTATTGTAACTGATCAACATAAATTTTAGGAAATATTTTTGGGATTTTTAAGCTCTTGGATGGAAACCTATTATTAGAGAGAGATTTTTTACATTTTGCACAATATAAAAACATAGATTTTGGTTTAGTTTTTTCCTTAAAAACTAACCTGTGTCTTAGTAATTATTGGCAATAAATCATTAGTATTAACATTTTCAAGAAGTTTTAAGTAACAAACCAGAATTAAGAGTATGCAGAACCACATTAAACTGCCGCCAAAATGATATTCTTAGAAAATAAACAACAACTTAGAAACTTAATTTCAAAATTGTGTTAGCTTACAAGAGTTTGTGGCCTATCTCATCGTTTCTTTTAGATTTCATAAGTTTCTTTTATAAAATTCTTAAAATATAAAAATTTATACAAATATTTCCCAAGAAAGAAATCGAGTTTCTGCCTCACAAACATGTTCGCAGTGCACAATCTCATCCCTCCCGAGGCCAGAATATTATGGGGTTTTCCCCTTTTGTTGGGTGGTTTTGTAATGACAAATAATAACTGGTGGTCCTGCCTGTTGGCCCCCAACCCCGTGGCGGGCCTGTCAGTGGGCAAATTAATGGTGAAGTGTAAGTAAAATTTACGCTCTGCCACCGCAGCCGCCCCTTCCCCCCCATCCCCATGCTATCTGCTCACATCTGCTAATAATCATAAAAAAGGCGGCTAGCAGGCAGCATTTTGACAACCGACAAACCCCCACAAGTGCAGCAGCCCCTTTTCGAGAAGGTTTTTGGCTGACAGGCGCAGAATAAAGGGAAAACCAGCCGCCAAACCAAAACAAATATAAATAATTTTACTTTATTGTTTAAGCCCAGCTTGGACCCTCACTGTGGACTCCGTCTGAGTGGGCTTGTATTTATGTTGCATTGCCATTGATTAGCGGCTCGGGAGGATCGCCGTAGTGGGTTGCCAAGTGGCTGTCTATGCCGACTGTTGCACTTTTCGCGGCTTACTTTTTATTTATTTGACTTGGCAAGTAGTTTGCCAGATCAAAAGGCCGCTGGGAAGATGTTTATAGAGTCAGTTCTTGGAAGCGCAGGAATCGATTAATAAAAGAGTTCCAGCCATTTGGCAAAGGCATATTCATGTTTCCAGAGAAAATCAATTTGAAAAAGTAGATTGATGATTGAGCTTAAATATTTTGAGTTTTTAACAGCATTTCACTAACACTTTTCTAACTTTTAAAGTTTAATAACTTTAAGTATAAATTGCAAAGAATAAAGTAGATTATTTTTGGATTTTCTTCGTAGTTTTTCATCATATTTTTAGGAATATTCTCCAAAATGATTTCAAGTAAGCTAAAAATATATTAAATTCCATAATGAATGCCCCTAAAATGTACACAAACCACAAGTTTCTTGGCCTTGTTCTAATCTAATTATATTTTAATTAAAATTTTTGAGATGTTCAAGGCAGAGCCCTTCAACTCGCCTAATTACCAACATCTGACTTGCTCTAGCCATAAGTTCTCGATTTTTATGTAATCAAAGTTCATCGAGGGCGCTGGTGCTCATTCAAGAAATCAAAATCAGAAGTTCGAGCGAATCAGAGTTCACTTCGCGGGTTTAACTCGGACATGTGGGCATGTTTTAATAATTGCGGACACAGAAAATAATTGTAAACGTTGATTGTCCAGCTGGAGTTGGGGCCGGCCAGAAGAAAAAAGGCGGTAGGGAAAGAGACCATAAAATGTGGCGACTGCAGAAATGCTCGTAGGACAAAACAATTTGATGGCCGAGTGAAAGATCTCCGTCAATTGATAAGATTTCAGTTCAATTAAGATGGGAAGAAGCTGTGTAGATTGACTCACTTGTAAAGGCCTTGCTGCATATCCATGTTGTTAGAGTTGGAGCCGATTCCTAGGCCCATTCCGCCAGCACCTGCTCCTACTCCTCCGCCGCCGCCGCCAGCGCCAAGCATTGTTCCGCCATACCCCATATTTCCGGGTAATCCCTGGCTTCCTGGCACTATGATACCCAACTTTGCCAGTCCTGCCAATGCATGTCCATGTGGATGGGAGCCCAGATTCCCGCCATGACCATGAGACGATGGTAATCCCATTCCGTTGCCAGGAACTCCAAGTCCGACTCCCGAATGCCAGGGTATTCCCACGGAGCCCACGCCACCGCCCATTACCGAGGGAACACTGGATGTGCTGCTGCCCAACTGATTGATCATGGATCCGCCTCCGGGTGAACTGTTCACCACCTGACCAGCATTTCCACCCATCAAGGTGTTCAGCAGGGTGCTGTTCATGTTGCCATTGTTCAGATTATGATTGCTCTGGTGCTGCTGATGCTGCTGGTGCTGCTGGTGCTGCTGTTGCTGGTGGTGGATGGCAGGATTGCTGCTGTCGAGATCGCCGTTCTGGCCAACCATCAGCAGCTGGTCCTCGTTTCGCACCTGGCCCAGGCTCAGGTGAGTGAGGATCATTAGCACGAATACTCCCGTTGACGATGGCATTTTCTTAGATTTGTTATAAGTTAGAAATTTGTTGTTGGTGAATTGTTGATTTGCTAAATGCGTTTTCTATAGTCTACTTTTTGGCGTGATATATTGTGGATGCTTGGTGGTAAGTACTTTAGTTAATAAATTACTAAGTGCTAAGGGCTCTACTTCATAAATATTTATTTTTCTTTAGCGTTAGAATTAAGTTTATGTTGTCAAAATTGTTTCGGTTAATATAAAACTGTTAAGTTGCCGTATAAAAATTGTTTAATAATCTATTCGATGCGATTTTGTTTTCGTTTTTCTTTTCGGTTTTGAGATTATGTTATTTAATTGGGTTTTCCTTTGCTTTTCTTTTGTTTGTTTGTGTAACTTATTTTTGACTGCTTAATACTTTTCGTTTGGTTTCCACTCGCTTGTTTTTTTGGGCTTCTACATTTTCTTTTTGCTTTTCTAGCTTGTTAGTGGACTGGTTAAACTTATTACTTTTCACATTGGCACTTCAAACGTTTTTCTCTTGTTATTTCGATGGCCGAAGATGATTTATTTTCTTTAGCGTTGTGCGTTTTGCGTTTTTCCGGATGAATTTTCCTTTGGGTTTCCTGGGAAATCGGAATCTCTCCGATCGAACAGCGCTAGATCAAAAGGCCTGGCGATCCCACCGACGATCGAGCGTATCAAAACGCAGCGAAACCCGTTTGGAAGTTGCTGCTCCTGCAGTTGCAATGGTTGTTGCTGACCGCCAGCGACGCCGTCGCCAGTGCTGCTTTATACCGCCGATCCATCCATCTGGGCAGCCTAAGTTCGAGGGTTTTCCGCTGCCGCTGCACATGAAAAGGCGCCGCCACGCATTTAAGGAATTTTCTTTTGGCCGGCCGGCCGGCCACTAGCCATACGCAGCACAGCTTTCAGATCACAGAAGTTAACACACACACACTACGCACACTCTTGAGCCACTGAGTTTTCCGTTCTTTTCTATTTTCCGGATGCCAACAGTTTTTCACGCTTTCCCAACACTTTTGATTTGGGCGAGAGTTTCGCTTTTGACAGCAGTCGTTTGTTTGGCTGGCTGACTGTTTGCCTGAATCTGATTTGGGATCTGAGTTTCTTGAGCTTGCGTTTCAACCACCGCGCCACACGTGCGTCCATCAGCTCGTTCGGCACTCGACTGAATCATCGACAGCCGACCGTCGTGTGTTGCCGTTGCCGTTGCCGATGGTGTTGCTGTTGCTGTTGCTGCTGCTGCTGCTGCTGCTGCTGTTGGTGTTGGTGTTGCTGCCGTGCTGCTGGGTGCCTTTTGGTGGACGTTCTGATAGGCAAACACGGTCGTGGTTGGCGCATGATGTGGACCCGAATCGCCTGCGCAGCCAGTGACAAACTTGCAACATGTTGCATGTTCGACGTGTCGCCAATTGATCGCCGTCACAATATATGGACAACACTTCATTAATTATGGCGACAACTTGTCAGCGGTAATTGCTCCGTGGCTAATTGGCAGGGAAGTGTCTCTGGGCCAGTCACTTGTCGTCCCGGCTACCGCGCATTCTCCGGCCACTCGGTTTATCTTTTTTCTCCCCAGATAAACCGGGGTTTGGTTTGTCGAGGTTTTTCCATGTTTGCTCGCTCAGTCCATCCATCAGGCAGTCTTTCAATCTCTTAGACACTTTTCTCTAAAGGCCTATCCATCCGGTAACACGAAGAATAATTAGGTAGCTCTTTGGGTTTATAAAATTTCTATCTCGAAATTTGTAAGATTTAGGATTAAGGTTTTCTCTTAAGACATTTCAGAATGTTTACCACTTTGAACTCTTTGAGAATTTTCAAAATACCATCATACTTCTTAAGAACCTTTTGTGAATGGCAGATCTGATAGCTAAGGTTCTTTTTTAGTTACTAGAAGTTTCTCTCCGTGTAGGCAACTCACCTTTCCACTTGTCTTCAACTCTAGCTGTTTGTTATTTACCTTCTTTTCTCACTCTCCTTGACTCTCTCATACACACATTCCCGAAAGGGCAAGGCACTCGGCAAAAATATTTTTTAGCTACAACTTTTGACCCAAAACCCTTAGATAGCCCACAAAATCTTACCTGTCCGGCAACTAATATTTGCACAAGTTAATTACAAAAACAACATGGGTGGAAAAATCATTGCTGGTTTTTCTATTTGTCCAAACATTTGTCAATTTCATTGAGCTCTGACCGGGCATATTTCCTGCAACGATCGAAGCGGCGGCAAGCTCACTTTGATCGCTCCCAACGCCGTCGTCTTTTTTGGTTCAATTAAGATTCATTTTAACGCTCCAAGAAAGGCCAGTGAATATATAGCGAATGATTGTTCGTGGCATGATTGTTCGTTCTCGGCGTTTATCTAATTTACTTTTACTTACACTTACACTGCCAACTACAAGCGCCCCCCCAGACCCCCAAAAAAACAGAAAAGATAAGTGTCTGTCCGATGGGAATCGGAGTGGGAATCAGAATGGGACTGGGAATGGGACTGGGTATGAGAATGGGACAAAAAGTCGAGACCCCAGAATCGAGAAACGGAGCTGACCAGTTTTATTGGCTTGACAATGGGCCCGTGTCTCTGGGCGAGAAGGTGAGGGAATTGCTGTTCAAGTGCCTTTTCATTGCGGCACTTTTCAGAGCCCAATCCCATTCCATCTTGGAGAGGAGATGAAGAGTAGGAGACGCCGTCTAATCTCTGCCTCGGTTCTCCATTCTAATGGTTTCTAATGAACTACTTAAGCTGCTGATATGGAAGTGATTGACGATGATGATGATTCGGCGGAGGCATGATCGGTTAATCTCATTGCTGGAGTGCTGTCAATACACGAAACGATAGCTGGGAGGCTTTAGGGTTATTACCTATCCCTAAGGGGCTTATCTGCGGGATGAGTCAGTTAAGGCAGAGATCTCATGAGAACTTTGTAATGTGTTAACTATAACTATAAGGAATAGTTTTTGCAATGATAAACTCGATTGATTTCAGGAATAATGCTTAAGTAAATAATCTCATCAGATCATTACACTTCCTCTTTCCCGAAAAGGTGCTTTGCGAAATACCTTGAAGGAGAAACTTTCTGTGGTCTAATTAATTAGTTCGTTACCCTAGTACTCTAGAGCAGTCAAGTCCATATGATCCTTCACTCGATTCAAATGCAATTAATACCTTAAAATATTACCCTTTTGTGGCAAGGAAAGGTTCAGTGACTCTTTGGCCATTGGGAATGTTTAATGTAGCGTAAAATTGCAATGTCAAAACATTTTGCGCAAATCAAAAGCCCTTTCTCTATGGAAAAACTCCCCACTTACCTCCCCCATCTAATGTGACAATGGCATGACTGAGGTCCGTTTAAAGGTTCGGCTAATTGTCGCCGAAAAAGAAAGACTTTGAAGTGCCAACTTCACTTTAAAGCTTAAACTGTTGTTAAGCATTTCCTGTGTTTTTCTAACTGGCACGATGGCAAAGGAAAATTCCATTTCACTCGAAGTTGTTTATGGAAAACAAATCTGGTCTGGCGGAGAAAACATACACACGTTAATCAAACACTCTCGCGGCTTTTGGCAGAAGTCTAAACATTTTTACAGACACCTGCCACAAAATGACGTCTTGTTTTCGGCTGCTGGCCCGAATCGCTCAATCATCTCAAGTGGTCAGCGATACTCGGCGAGATGCTCCTCTCTAAGAACCTCCTAATTGGCCAGCGGGCGCCACCCAAATCAGTTATTATGATTATGACTAGCAGCACTTCAAAGAGCCAACGACTTCAAAGAGAGCGCCAGGTAAACGACACTCTATATATGCTTCCCTATATATATGCCACACAGGTTGGGAGCCAGAAACAGAGGAACCGAGGCCGCTTCCTTCATTTTGCGGCTGCACGCGACATTAATTTCAGTTCCTGCCTCGGAGACTGGGACTGCAACTAACAGCTTCTGTCCTCCACTAAAATTAATTTCATAGCCAATTGCTTCGTCGTAAAATATGCTTTTACTTCGAAGGGCGGAGTTTTCGGTTTTGGGGCTTCGGTTTTATGGCTTCTCAATTGAAGGAGGCCAAGCACCGCCCGGCAATTCTTTAACTCGATGCAATTAGTGCGTCATTATTATTTGCAATTCAAAACTATGTGGGAATCGTCAGAAGACGATGAAGACGATCTCCCCGCATTCGGATATATGCGATTATAATGGACCCGCATGCCAGTTCGCCTGTCAAATTTATGACAAGTTATGAGCGGCAGCAGCATAAACAAAAGCGAGAGAAATCATACAATAAACCCATCATCATTAAAACTGAAAGCGATCTCGCAGGGGCCGCAGACGGAAATCGAAACTAAAACTTTTTCATTGCCTCGAGCTTCTTGGGCTGCTAAACATGCGATAAGTTGGTGTAACCTCTTTAAGCTGCTTAAAGGATAAGTCTAGGATTCATGGGAAGGAATCGAAGTATCGAAGGGGTACACTAAGGGAAAACGTTGCATTAATAGTTAGTTCATGAGGAATTTGTAAACATTTCTTGGCTTTCAAACAAGTTTAAGTATGAAAATCTTGATACATCTTTCTAACAACTTACGTTTACTACAGTTTAAGATTCAGTAGTTATCCATCTAATAAATGATAAAATTAAGACAACAATTTGCCTAATGAAGTTGCTTTCTGAGCTAGCATGTAGAAAATTCCCCTAATCAAGCCAAATCAGTTACCCTTTCAAGTGTTTCTCCAGTGTAAGGACGAAAAAAGAAATTGTTTCTTAAAGCTTTCATCGCAGCAGCCTTAGCCCCAGCCCTAGCCTCAGCCTCAGCCCTTCGGGTCAACTTGTTTATGCGACAAATATCCATAAATAGTTTTACGCTCTTACGGGTTCGAGTACTAGTCGAGAGGCGAAAGGACTCGGCCCAAGGATGCACGATAGGCAGGGTCTGCTACCACTTAAGGTAACCAACTGGAGAGAAGGGCCGAGAGCTAGACACATTTGGCCCAAAAAAAAAAAAAAATAACTGAAGAAAACGAAAT